TCACCACGGTTTCCCACATAGTAAATTAATTGGTCACTAATTAAAACACATGTAAATATGGTCTTGGTTTATTCATGTTTGTTGTTATAAATGTCGAGTATATTTTTCATCGGGCGTCAGGTAACGCGACAACATCGAGAGCGCTATAATTAGACCGCGAGTCAGATAGCTTATGCGCATCGTCGATGCAAAATTCTTGGCCCATTTATTCCTACCAATACACGTGGTTATTATGGCCCGTTTGTAGAACAAGTGGAACACAGATCATTATTATTTTATGCACGTCACCAACATACCGATCGCATTAAACAAAGACTTCTTTTCATAATATCCTTGTTCTGACGTCTTTTTACGCATTAGCGTCATTTTGTTTATTTATAAATTGAAAAAATAAGATTATTTTAATATAAATAGTTGCAATAACATTAGTGACGTTAAATGCGGTTACTAACTGGTTAGTAGTTTCTCCGAAAGCTAATATTGATATATTTACGTATATTTGTCAGCTGAAAATTGATAGAACATCAACATTGTATTTTAAACTCATCCTAATACGTCATTGTTGCGCGGCAGTTATGTGAAGACACCTGCCAATACAATATTGAAATGTTCGTGTTGTAAAATAAAATTCTAATTTTATTATCCAATAGAAGATATATTATGGCATTTTTCAAACACCCACGGCACTACTCGGTGGGTATGAAGATAAAGAACATGTTGTGGCCACATCGCCATCGCGCGTCGGTCCCACCCAAGCGCCGACACAAAACGATTGAAAATGTACATTTGACGGCAAAGTTTTATGACTTATTCAATTGGTAGTTCGAGCAAGAAGTGAGAAACTATTTCCAATTATTTCTTTGGTACACGCAAATACCAATAATCAGAATGTATAAGTAAAATGTTCTTTGTATAACTTGATAAGCAAAATGTAATAAACTTTGGGGGTTTTTATGGGATAATTTAACATTTCTTTGTAAAGTGGTGCCGAAACGATAAGGTAATCGCGCGAGCCTCGAGGCAGGTCCCAAGCCTGTTACATTAGAATTTTTAACCAACGTAATCGATTGAGCGAAAACGAAATAAAGGGTATGTGCCAAGCGATAAAGTATCCTAATGTTGGGCGGTTTCTGGTTCAAACTGAAAGGCAGGCAGTAATGGTGGTGTTCGGAGCTAATCACCGTGATTACAATGTGGGCCACCGTCGGCGATACCGGCAACACAGCCGCTAGCCAGCCTGCCGACAGTAATTGCTCGATCCCTCTAACTTTCAATTAAACCCCTTCGGTAAGTTTAACAGGTAAAACTGTAGAAGCCTGTATTTTTATATCAAAAGCCATTCTTTTTCAAAGGAAATCAGAAAATGTTTACAATTGATCCTGTTATTATCCTCTACATGGCAAACCGATGAATGACTATGTATTAAGACTTTGACTGCCAATAAAAAACTGTTGAAGGTATATCCTCCGCTAACGCCGGTCACCGGTGACCCCCATGGCGTTAAACGTGTTAAAAAAAACAATTCTTGTTTAACCACCATTTTAGATCCCCGTAGTTACTATGACGGATAACGTATGATGTTTGCTTATTTCGATTACAGAAAAGACCTTACTTTATTTTAATATCTCTAGAACAATGCTATAATGAGTGCCTGTCAACTGTAACTTAACAAAAGAACATTCTCGTGGATATCAACATGATGTTTTATTTCTTCATAGAACATTTAAAACCATTAAAATTTTATGTTTTAGCGTTAGATACAACGTTTTGTTTGCAGGAAGCCGACCTTGGCCAGACACTTGTGACTCGCGATAACAGAGGCATGCAGTCTATGATTGTGTCACCGAGTCACCGGTGCATAAGATTAACATGATAACGAACGCATGACACGCTAATCTCTGTTAATATATTCATAATGATACAATGATGCTATCGCTCATCAGTTTCGTAAACATCTAAATAATGACACACCTAATTAGCTTCATTCTCGTTCCTTTGAAAATATTATAAATTCGTACCTACAAGATGCACATAAATGAAAATCAATTGCGAATTAACTTTTTGCGTACATACATTTGAAAAAGAAAAATATACGATTTGTACAATATAAATAATGCAGAGAACATATATTCACGCAAGATATATTTATATGGATGCAGTTTCCATTAAGTCTACGAAACGTTACTATATAAGGATCAACAGAAACTGGGGTAATTGGCCAGCGTTCGAGGACGCTGGACTCAATGATGCTATAAATTGAAACGCTTTATCAAATCGCTAATCGACAAATAACAAACGGCTTTATTATGTTCAGTAATGATGCACACGATTCCTATGAGCTCTATCGTATGGCTGGTCAATCGACTCATTGCCAGAACTATTTATGTAATAAATGAACCTTTTGTCAATAAAGGATATTCGATCGTTACCTCTTCTAAGCTTTAAATGCTCGGTAAGCAGACCGGTAAATATAAAACGGCGATGAATAGATATAAAACATCAAATAGTGTTTTATGCAAATATCGTACAACAAAGTTATTTTCAGACATGTTGGCACAATTCCTCACAGACACGACATGGTATCTGATACGACCAGTCAAAGAGCTGTCACAATAATGTTCCTTGCATCTCTCATCTCATTCGTATGTCCATACATAAATAACAAGCAGTCTTCAAGATGTAAAGACGTCGTCCTTCGATGTACAACTTTTAATACCAGTACCAATTATTATTCACAAAAACAGGAGATTAATAAAACAAAAATTGGAACGGACAGGCGCTGTTTGTTTTTATTATAAGTAAGATAAATGGATTGTGGAATAAACTGGACGGGAATTTGTACGTCGAGTGATAAAAACAGTCATCACTCAGCAGATGAAAAGCTGATGTTAATTAAATATGTTCTCTAATTATGTTAATTAATATTGATGAAAGGATTTTATCCGTCAACGATTGGCGGTTATCCCTTACTTATATTTTTAGTATATTTTATTAATTACCGAAAGATCAATATCAAATCGGTACCCTACTTAGGAGTCGTTTATATGTGTTTAGTTCATGACTAGTATACATAGAAGTCATTTAATCCATGACTATTCAAATAAACGCTATTTATCGTGAAGCAGGATAGCCCAGGAACTGTATCGGAGTCATAGTGATCTGTATTTTTGTTGCATTCACTGGATAACCAAAAAAGATGATTAAAATTTTCAGCAGATGTCGTAATAGTTTCACGGATAAATAATACAATTGTTATCATAGTAGTTCTTACGTGAAACCTCGTTTCTAGATCTTTGCCGTCTGTTTACTCTTGCACTGTTGACATTTCCCTTCGTATGAAGGCATGCGATTCTATTTATTTAGTTCACAGATACTCTACCCATTGTTAGAATTTCGCGTGATTCACATTGCAATCAGTTACTTTAGTTTTCTAGGAACAGCAAATATCGTATGAACAGAACTTGTCTTGCAAATTGTTTGGTTACCTACATGTAACATAGTAGTCAGTAAGGCTTCTATGATTCACAATAAGTTTTCAATGGTGACATATTTGAGAAAAGTAAAATCAATAGAAAATAGAACATAATAGAATTAACTAAAGCTAAAACAATAAACAATGTCACCGTTAGTCACAAAGTTTTCAAGCAAATTAGTTTTGTCTCTAATTAAGACGATGAAGCGGCATCCATTAAAATAAATTAACGTTCTGAAATTTATAAAATATAATATTTCTGAATTACTTACGAAATAACCTTGATTTTTTGAGGGCGACAGAAAGATAAAACTTTTTTGCGAGACTTTGAGACGTGCTCGGCTGTCAAGAAGTCTTCAGCTTTCAAAACTTTTATACTTATTTTTAAGTTGTCAAGTCTTAACGGCTGCGGGATCTAGTGAATATAGAGCGCTCAATTTTTTATATTGCCCGTAGTGTATTTTCCTCGTAAATTCAACGACCGAATTTGCTCTCTCCTTGCAAAGTCTTTGTGATTTATTATTTCGATATTGAATTTCGGTCCAGCTGCAGGAAAATATACGTCATTGTAACACATTAAGTCACACTATCGTCTAAATCAAAAGTAATACTGATCGTGGCATTTGATATGCTAATTCATTTCGTTCACACGACTTGTTTATATTATAATATTCTAGTTAAAAGCGTTGTAATTAATCTAATTCATAATCTACACATAAATCGACTCCGTCTGATTTAATATAATGTAGCGTGATTTAGAATTGCTACTGCTAACTTTATAGTTTTACTCAGTACTTATTTCAAGGGCTTGTATTCCATGAATCACGACAATTCATTCATTGAAGGTGTTGATAAAATTTAGATAATGTGCTTCGATCCCGGTTACCTCAATGATTGTTTGAATGTTCTCAATAACTAAATTAGGTGTCATGAGACTAAATAGGTCGAGGCCGAGTCTATTTAGTGACCTAGACGAACAGTCTATGCAAATTACAGCACTCGATTTAGAGCGCATATTGTACAGCGGTAGGAACCGAGAGAGAAGTTATTCCTGGAATATAATTACGAGCAGTTACCATTCAGCTTCAATTCTGAAAATCCAACATTATGTTACTCTGACACGAATTGCGTTAGGCACTCCGACTATTTGACTTTGTTAATAATTTACGTGGATTCTATGATGTTAGCTTCCCTGAATTTCTAAATTGATAACTAACTAGTATTTGGTATATGATTACGTAATACTACTATTTTTTAAACAGGTCTAATGACATAATATTTAATTGGCTAACGCATTTCATATTTAATTTTCCTCTTCCATATAGCGCATGTTGTCAATCAACTACCACTTCCAGTTGATCACATTAGCAATTAGTGTTACATTACACACGTACCATATCAAGCTAGCTGGAACTTCTCTCCCCATACCATACCCTGTTTTGGTCTAGGAGAAAGTACAGAATCGATTTTACTAGTGATACCGTTAGTCTAGACTAGACTGACTCATTGTTTACGTCGTGGATACACTTTATTTATAGTACTGGTAATTGTAAGCAATTTTACGATCCATGTTATCTGTTTTTAGATTCACAAAGCCTTAAAGCATTTTGATTTATCGTCCGACTTAAAGGTTTCTGCGGTAAACATACAGGTAATGAGTTTACGTTGTGAGTGTTGTTCCATGTGTGTACTTTCGATGATTCCGTGTAAGTGGAGAGTCTTGGCGTCTTGTTCAGTAAAGAATGTAGTGGAAATCGTGTGAAGTATGTCGTTAGTGTTAGGCGGCGGGCGGCGGTGACGGCGGCGCGGGCGCCTGACATCTCCATATGAAGGGCCGCTAACTGCACCCGTGTCGAAAGTCGCGCTTCGTTTGTTTAGCACGCAACTAAACGAACCGCGTGTTGTAACATTCCAATGTGTACCTAAACCGTCGCAAATTGGTGAAACTGTGTTGAGTATGTTTACAAAAACAAAAGAAATGCAGACGGGAAACTTCATAATTATTTACCAACTCTTGCGCAAAAGCTCATTTTAATAGCTAAGTGCTACTTTCAGGCATAATAAAAACACATTAAAATTTTATCTGCTGTTAAGAATTTAAAACACTAACAAAACGAGTTCGAATTGCCACCGCATTTGCAGTCGTCACATTAAGGCGGAATAGCAATAAAAGGCGAAGTAAGTGCCTCACGGTGGGTCTCGGGAACAAAGGGTAATAAGTCTTGAAATTGACTTTTTGAGAACAGGTGAGGTCGCGTCAATCCCTGGCCGAAAGCATTTACTTTCCTTCGCAACAGCTACAAGCATAAATAAATGACGAAGGTCGAACACTGTTTTTATATCCGAAGCCCACCTGGTTTTATGCGCGAATGTATTTCTTCGATTGTTTTTTAGCATTCCTTCATAACCTAAACTTCAATTTAAAGACGTGAGCGATCGTAAATCTCAGTTTATGTCAGCACATTTGGAAACAGTTTGGTTCTAATAATAAAAAATATGCAACCCATTCCTAAACACTGAAATCAATATAAATCTATTCATGTGAATGAATGAGAGCGGTAAAAATTCGTGTGGGTAAGGCGGAAATGACTAAAGTTAGGTACATCTGAGTGTTCGAAGAAAAATGTATGCGCGTATATGTATTATTATTATGCAAATAATATAAGAATTACTTTTAATGGACTATAATTACATTGCATAGAATGTACATGCGCGTTTAAAATACAGGTGCATTAATTTAATGCGATACGGATAAGCGCAATGGTCACTAGAGTACCTACATTATCGTAAGGAACAAAAAAACAGTAGTTAATGGCATGTTGGCATTTACGAGGGTCCAAGATTTATAAAGTGTCATGACAATTAGCGTAGATGATCATAAAGTTTTATCAGACTGTCACAAGAACGGTCCTAAAAGTATCAATATCCATTATGCTTCGAATAAATGTCACGTGATCATGTTCTGGATCAAACCTTTATGGGTCATAATTTATTTTTTGTAAGTTACTTTGGGAATCTGAATAGCGTAGACCTTTTGTTACAATATTTAGACTTCGTTGACGTGTCTGGTCGATTTTCTTGGCCTAGTTTTCAGAGAACATAATATCATTTAAAACACTGCTTGTAAACTGTGAAGTGCAATTAGTGTTCGCTAGCAGCGTTACGACGGAGTTGAGCCATGTCTACACAGGCACACTTTGTCACCTCTAACTCAATTTGTCGGCTCATGATAATTTTCGATGTCTCTCGTTCGACGACATCTTTTTGTACGCGGCGCTGCGGTCGTTAACGATCCGCACGGTGTCAATCAAGACACGCCTTTCTCATTTTGATCAATAAATTGAATACTTGTTAAGTCATCTTTTTTGCCCTGTACCTACATGTACTTATTGGTATTTCACGATGTGTCGTGACAGTATGAAAATGTAAATTAAAACTCCATAATGTAGAATCATCTACCATTGTACTTTAGAGCGAATCATTGTTCCTCGTATTGTTTTCAAGATTTTGTCTCTTTTAACATTTCTTATGACGTGCCGAATAATTTATTCCTGAAACACCTGAAGAATATCTGTATTCTTTGGGTAAAGACAAACCAATGAGTTAATCTTGAATAGACACATTGACCAGCAGCGTTCATAAAATAAATAGCTAACTCGTAGAAATATCATCCGTCTCCAAATTGAACTAAATCACGTACACCCCAAACCTTATGTACAATATTTATAAGAAACATTATTTATTCGAATTTGAACTATAAATATAATATGATAATGCTCTCTTTAGCAGTAACTACAGACGCATACTTCCCGGGTAACCTACAAACGCGTAATAATTTGTAACACTTGTCCCTGCACTGAGCTTAACATGTTATTGGTTTGACAGCGGCCGGTTTGTTAAATGTTTGATTTACGGGCGAAGACAAACGACGCAACACATGTATGTGTGGTCTTAACTGCTGCACTGACATTATTTGTATTACGTGAGTTATGTACATGTGGATTTAAAACTAATAAGAAGTTACTCAATATTTGTCACGTATATAAGGCAGTTTTACTATATTATAAAGGTGTCTACTAATATGTTACCTCTTCTATGCCCCTCTTTTATTTGATCTATACTGCCATGGACACCGTACCAGTATATTCAACCACACCTAACTGGGAAAATTTAAGTGGAATATTTTTTATATTTTAACTGTAGGTACTGTAGAGATCTATTGCTAAAAATTACGAGCACATTAATTACGAAAGTAATTGTTTGTGATTGTGCACACGGCCGACAGTAACTTAATACAATTGGAGTCTTTAACACTGTATTGTTGATTATCTTTTCGGCTTTCTCACGTAACTATTTGACGAGGAACTCGACTAGTTTCAAGCCATGCTAGAGGCTCATATTCATGAGCAGCATTCCTCGACACGCTATGCCGCGATTGTCGCGCTGCTACTGAGTTACAGTTACGTGAGTAAGTCGAAAACATAATAATTAATTTAGTATGTCTCACGAGAGTTTAAATAGAAACTGTATTGTTCATTGGGTTTTTCAATGTTTCAAATTCTTTAATTTACTCTGAACTCTGTTGTGTGCCGATGTAAGCTCGCCTTCTTTACAGAACGAGTACCAATTCTAGTATACTTTAGTACTCTTAAAAAATAGAATACAAGTTTAACCTTTACTATTATATAAAGCGGAAGAGTTTGTTTTTTTTGTTTGTTTGTTTGAACGCATTGATCTCTGTAACTACAAGTATGATTTGAATAATTATTTTTGTGTTGGATAGCACAATCTTCGAGGATGGCAATAGGCTATAAAACATCACACTAGGACCAATAGGAGCTGAGCAGAGCGTGTGAAACCGCGCGACAGTAGCTAGTAGGATATAAAAATCCCTTCAACAATTACTTTTAATCTCCAATTACCAAAAATAAACAAAATGATACAAACAAACAATTATTTCGGGATTTTCCTCTAACAAAATTGTCACGAATTGTCCATTTTTAGTTTAATCTTAAACTGTCAAACACCAAGCGGTCACCGGTGACCGCGACCTATTGTTCTTTAATTGTGTCTATAAAACCGGTACTCGACGAGTTAAAAGCAAAACACCCGGCGTGATAAGCGACTGCTTAACTTATAAAATAAAAATGGCTCTGTATTCTAGACATCAGATAAAACGTGGCAGTCGATTAAAAGTATTTCTTAAGCGATAGTAACAAAGTTGAAAGTCATGTAACGATTAACGTTTTGATCTATTTTTAGTGTAAGGGCAAAGGTAACAGACACCAGAACTATTATAATCTCTGTATGATTGATCACCGATCTGTCCGATATATATCCTTACAACACATTATTAACTTCACGGTTGTATGTTGTATGTACAATATATATATATATACATATACCCATTAAATCCTACATCATTATTTCTATCGATGGATGAAATCTAATGCAATGATTCATGACTTCATTGAAACATGATTAAAGGTATAATTATCTAACTTAGAATTATTGATGATATCTAAATGGGTGCATGAATTATGATTACAATTTGTAGTCTACGTTACGTAATTTTAAATAAATTTTAGGACTTTATTTGACGTAAACTCTGAGTGAAAAGTAAGCTTACAACTTCGCCCGCATCGTGGCTAGTGCCTCAGGTCGGTGAGGTTAGCTATAAGTATGTGCTTGTCTAAACAAATTAAAACAATAAACCCCAAGTTCGTAATGATATAAACAAAAGTCCATTGTATTTATAGAAAACTATAAATGGATTCAATTCTCAAAACTGACTTATCTTTTCTATCCTAACCAAAATAACAAATAATTAATAAGAAATCGCCCGTTGTTGACCATTCAAAAGTTTTATCTGAACATTTATAAAATAAACACAAAGTTTGGCTTTTAGTTTCGACTGGTAAACCTAAAACTCCTTTACGAGAACTTCGTTTAATTTTCATTACGTATTGAAAGAATTTCTGTAGATTCAAATATCTTAAGAGGGATTTTTATCTAGTAGGTGAGAAATCAATAAATCGACGCATTATTTGGTTTATCAAGTCAAAAACCTTGATATATTCGGCTCTGTACTATTTTAGCTATTAGGTGCGTTAATCTTTTATTGCTTACAATAAACCAAAACCAAATAAAACAATAGTAAAGAGTCGACCACCCAGAGTTCAAGTACTGGGTATGCTAAAATCTCCGCCTACTGGAACCATTACAGGAAAAAATGGATGCATATTAATGCTTCATCCAATAGGTATTATAGCGAACCTAACTTTAACTTTATTTTTTCACGTATTGCTAAAAGTTAGTAAGTTAAGGGATATTTTGATATTTTATTAAGTTCTTCTTAGTCAACAAAGCTCTTTTTTCTGCAGCAAAATATGTTTCTATTTTCATTTTTAGGGGTTATTCTCATTAGAGGTTAATGAATGTTATTAATAAATGTTATACATCACAGAAAAAATACATAGTACCTGAAGGGTCTAGTAGTAATAACATTAATATAATAATTATTATATTTCATTAATGTCAAAGTATGTAGTTATTGACAATTTTCTGTATTTATTTATACGATGTTATAAATTTTAATATACGTACATAGACGCATTACAGATGTTGTGTGTCCAGGAAAATTGAAATTCGAAACGTACAAAAGGAAAATAATTACATTTCAATTAAATTGTCAATTTTTGAATATCAATATCCACCTTTTAAATAATTCATGAAATTTTTCCTACATGGGGAATTTTGCGACTAATAATAATTCGTCGAGCCACAGTCTGCATAAATAGATAACATTACCATAAACAGGTGACTGCGAACAAAGAAAATATATTTTTACTTATTTCATATCGTCTGGGAACCGAAGCTCACCCTGAAATGTTTCGATTAAATAAAAATAAAATGGTGCCGTATCGCCGCATACCTTCGTCATTTAGTATCGTTCGCTTTTTGTACCACCTCAATGTATTATTCATGGAGTCCTGCCT